ATTATGTAAATCATTACTACTATTAATATTATGATTACTATTGTATAACAGCTACTTATTCTGTGTTTTCTCACTCCTCACATAACCTTTATCGCTATGACAACTTTTGTCTAGATACATATTTTCTAATTATGTTTATCACTATTCTAAATAATAAAGAAAATAATTAGATGATATTTCTCTCATTGTTGTTTATTGACGTAGTATGTGGTTTTGTTTACCAGTCTGTGTTTTTCATTCTTCTTCATTTTCTCGAAACAACTACTACACAACAGTAATAACAATCATTCTTTTACAACAAGAATTAAAAGAACGTCAATATTGTCTTCAAACTACCATTTATGATAATGGGTATCTGAAAAATAATGGAATCTGAGCTGCATTCATTAAATATTATTGGTTTACTTCACCTCTTTTTTTAGAACATACTCAAAGTTACTTGTGTTCTTCTTCTTACCGTCTTTGTGATTCCTATTATGTTTCATTCTTCCCCAGAGATGTTTACCCGTACCTTTGTTTACTTCTACAAATCTACTTCCATGTTTACATGTTACTTTTTCTTCTTTGTTTACTACTCGTTCATTATCTATACAGGCATATATATCCATATCCTTAGCTACGTTATTATATGAACATTATGTCTAACAATAGTGGACTAAATATGTGTAAATTAGACAGGCAATCCACATTCTTATTCTCTTTCCTAACTTTCTCCCTGTCCACAGTTAACTATTTTCGCTATTTCAGTTATTCTATCACTCTTACCACTATTACTACTACGATTACTATTATTGTGTCAACCCTATGGAAATCTTTTTCAGACTTAGTTATGCATATACATATTGTACTTGTTGAGTACGTGTACAGTATACATATATATGTTTCTTGTGTGTGTATATGTGTATGTATGTTTGTTTGTGTATGTGCGAGTTGCACTACAATTTTTAAACGTATCAATTAAACAAATAAATTTGTCAGATAATTTAAGTGTAATTATGAATTAAACAATCAAACCAACAAGATAGATATGAATTTATTCTGAAAATATGCACTGCTCGTATTCGTATGATCCATTTTCATTTCTTTTTTTTGTGAATAAGGACCTTACACAAGCCATCACTAACAAAACAATTTTCACCATAACGGTTAGTGCTGCTATGTTTTTTTCTAAAAAAAAACTTACACATAAATGAAAAATAATAATAGTTGATATTTTGGATTTTTAGTCTTTTACTCTTTTCGGTTCGGTATTTTTAGGATTGAAGTTCAACTTCTTATAGTAGATAGTATTGAGAAACTACTGGATCTACTAAAGTGACGAAATTTTTGTCCAGCTACTTATAAGTAGTAGTATTAGTTAGCTTGTATCTTCTTCATACTGTCATCATTTAAATCCAAAAATGTGTATGGCCTTAAAATAAACTGAGGCAAAATGTAGCCTGATATTACAAAAAATGATGAAAATATTTCTCGAAATCCGTTTGTGCAATGTGCATACGTATTTATGTTGGATTCAATTGCGTTACAGATACATTTTCTAAACCCGTCCCTGTCAAACACAGTCATGGTTTAGCGAAAGTCAAACAACTAAACGGTGTCATAAAACTTTAATCTAATCCTAAACTATCAATTAATACAATTAGTGCAAGTACATAAAACAATGCAGTCTTATTACAGAAAGGTAAGCCGTGAAGATTGGTGCATATAGAATAGTGATTAAAGAACAAAACAAATGAATCCATCGGAACTTAGTTACGCTTATAGAAAATGGTTCGATTGTTTAACTGATAGACTTAACAAAAAACAGTCGGTCTGAAAACAAATTGAGTTTTAGTTGGTGGGTGTTTAACTTAGGTATAATTGATTGATTCATTTTTATCGATCGTGACCAACATTTATCTCGTTTACTTAATTAGACATATAATTCCCATTTAAACATTCAAAACGCGAAATTCATGTAAGGGATCTCTTTCCCTAAATATTCAAGTTGTACTATCGTATACATATCTTTATCAAATTTTAAGTAGTAATTCCGTGAGGTCATATGAATAGTGAATAAATTTGATATAGTCGAAAAATTATTATGCTAGATTATGTAATATAATTAGTAACAACAAAAACGGTGTGTATAAATAAAAAGCATTACAAAATTAATAAGTTACCAATAGAATGGAGTAAGATAATTAAAATGTTTTGTCACAATAATTAATGGTAATAAAGAGGTAAAATGAAATGATCCCGACCGTTCCTGCTACTTTGATGTGGTAATCGGGCTTGCCTATCGTGATGAATCAGTCGAGCTTTACTGGTTAAAACAATCTTTCCTCAATGTCCTACCATGCTAGACAGGTCGGTTGACGAGCGGTAAAACTAAAAGCAGCAAACCCAAGGTCCGAAGGCGAAGTCGTACTGCTGACTGTACAGAGGTGTGACGGTAGTAAGGTGTTTACTTCAGGCAACCAGCATAACAACGATACTGCCTTCCCACAAGGAGGGGTGGGGTTAGAAAAGGTCGACCCGAAAAATGCACATCTCGCCTTATCCCACGGATCTTCGTCTCCGGTGCTAAGCTCTCAACAAGTACGGAGCGAATACGAAAATTACCTACAAGAAGGTCGAGTAAGACCAACCTCAAGAAGTTGTCCTTTGGGCACTGTGTTTACGCTCTTAGGTCACTAAGACTACCTCTAACCCAATTTCCTTTTCATGTATCTCTAGAAGAACCCATCCATGGTTTGGGCAACGGGGAATTGAAAACCGCCCTCATACCTGTAACAGCACTTAGGACCACTGCATTCGTAATAAAAATGAAATGAAGTGATTTCAGAAAGAGTCATGATTCAAATCATGGAGATATGAGAATCAATTAAAGAGAGAGGGGAATATTTTCAAATGCAAAATAAAACAATAATAGTGATAGTTCGAATCGATGGTAAAGGTAGGCACAAGACGTATTTCTTTTGTGCACACAATCTGTATCAGAATGTACAACTGAACTAGTTGAGATAAGATAATTCCTGCAGAAAGTCACTAAATTTAAGTGTTAAGTGTAAAACAAGGACACATGACATAAAACGAGAAGTTTATGTAAAATGTTTTTCTTGAGTAAAACTGCGGAACAAGAAGCTAGGAACCAGATCAGATAGGACGAATAAAAAGTAGATTTCTAAATAAGGTCCAAGTATGACTTGAAGATTGTATATGACTATGTTTTCCGTACAAATTTTACAGACATTCTAATGTAGACACAGTGTCAAAGCAATTTAAGTTCGAAAATGATTTCAACAGAGAAATAAATGACAAACATTAAAGATTGTATTTAGTGTTTGTGCATGACTAGGAAAAATCAAAGAATTCAAAAATGCTTCGTATTTGCAGAGTTGCTCTATTGTATTTGTAGAACTATTTTCTGTATGTTTGTAGATACCAAGAATGGTACCTTTTCTGTGTATAAAGGAACTAGATGTATTATCACAACTTCTGATAGACAAATGTCTTCGAGGGATTCCTGAACATCCCTCTGCGTGTTATGTCTAAATTTCACAATAACCTTACCGGAACAAGTGTATTAAATATGCTTTTGACCTTTATTACAAATATTTGCAGGTTATATGGATTCTCATAGATACGTTTGGAGCAATACGTCAGCATGTCTTTAAATACAATTTTTTATTTGTATGGAGTTCGTTCTTCAGATTCCTGACATCCATCAAGCTATTATCTTTAGTTTCACAATATTCAGATGATCGACTTACATATAAACTTCCAATGGACGTTCACCTTGCTGTTTTGTGTATTATTGTGTATTATTGAATTAACAGATCTTATATACTGTCACGTGAATTATTTGTTACTGTTTAAACCTTCATTCTTTCCTAAGTCAGAAAAATTCCTTTATATTCGGGGAAATCAACAGGAATAATTTTTTTACTTAATATTTCTGGACAGGCTTTTACGGTAAGTGACTTTTATTTTACTTTAAGCCGCTGAAACATTGTGTAAGAAGTCATCTTTTATGTTTTGTAATTGTATTGGTGAATATCTAAATCTAATTTACTAATTATCCGCAAATGACTAGTTTATTTTCTTTTAAAATTTATCAGTTGTTGAATCAGATTCACTGAACATTTGTGACGTGAAATTCCTCACTGAGGTTTAAGCTTTCATAAATCCACGACCTTTGATTTCTGAATAAAATCGGAAGACAAAAATATGACAGGAGATCTACTTTTAACGTTATTTCATTGTCAAAATTTAGTGGATAAGAAAATTATTCTCAGTGGATTTGAAGTTATTAAATCTGGAACTGGTATAAATTTAAACACTTAATCAATCATATTTTATATAGTTGAAATCATGAGTCAATTGAAGTTAGACCACCACTGGAAACCTGGAAGCATTGGACGGCCATTTCATCCTATTGTGTGACTTCTAAGCAGTGAGCATCCACGATCCCGCCTCATGAGATTTGAACCCAGGACCTATCAGTCTCGCGCGCGAGCTCTTAACCACTAGACCACTGACCCAGCATCCAACGATGCATCGGTTTATAAACTTCATTAGAAAATTTCCAAATACAATTGTCTTCCAAAATAAGTTTAAAGAATTTAATAAACTATGGCTCCTTGTTTATTAAGGATTACATATCCGGTTAGTTTAAGATTAACTTAATAAATACTAATTCAGTAATGCTTAAGAATATAATTTTTAGTCGTAACAACGGATCAATAAAACTATCACTTTTGTTGTTGTTGTTGTTGTTGTTGCTATCGTCTATATACCAACAAAGTACTGTATATCCTAACATAAATGAAATGAATAAGTATATTCATTAATTGTTGAGTACAATCGGTCATTTGATTCATACTTTTTCTTAGTTCCTATATCCATCAAAAAGAAAAAAAACGTCATATATTAGAAATCAATAAATATTCAATATGAAATACATCAATTAAGTGCACAGAATTATTTTTTTATTATTTTTCTTTGAATGAAAAATATTCATTTAAACAATTTATATCATTCAATTAGTAACTATCTCATAAATTTTATAGATAAAATTGATTATTGAATAGTGAATAGTGTTTAATTTAAACAAACAAAAGTCAATTTTTTGATTGAAATGAATTTGAATAATTCAAATATTAATAGGAATTTAAATTATCCTATATGGCTTGATAAACAAAAATATCCAAATTATATAACTACTTCAAAGATGAAGTAAGTCTATTTGTTGTTATATATGTTTTTTTTGTTTTTTTCTCTTTTAAAACTTCTTCATTGGGGAGGATACTTTTCTTTTTTTACTTTTCATGATGTTAAAGATACGACTGGTATTCTAGTTTGACAACTAGCGACCAGTAGCACCTTCTATATTCGAAACTTCTTCCGTCCAATAGAAATCAGAAGTCAGACGAGAAGTGGTAGGAAAGATATATTTGATACGTTACCAATATATCGAGAAACGTTTGTTCTTAGCTAGCTAGTGAACGTAGGAGCTGTGTCCTACGCCGAGTCGAAACGTGATCTGGTACGGATGCATGACCGAAAGCCTTCAGTTAAACAAGTTCACTTAAACAACGTGGTCAGCATCCAATGTCGAACACTTAGAAAGCTATTGATTTTGGGGAATTATTTACAGCTACAATGTAATAATTATCATATAATATTACATTTTAATATTGTTTAGATTACTTTATTGTATATAATCAGTATAAAGAAAGTGTTAGTTACTATATGTAAGAATAAATATGAACTAGATATTGTGTTCAGTGTTAAACTTATATCAGATTTCAGACCTAGATTGAACTTGACTAGTTATGACTTTTCATTAGAATTGTAGGAGTTAAATCTTGAAGGTAGTCACTAGTGAAGATAAAATTACTATTAGTATTAGGGATTTGTGAAGATGATAGAATTTATCAATTGGAATCGGTTCATATCTTTTTTCGACAATGTAATAAGAAAATGAAGATTATCAGAACTATTATTATCCTTGTCTATTCTTATCCCACATTTCCATTCTAGTTGATCATTGTTTATGATTATTGCATAAACTACCAACTAAGTAAGTCCGAAACCTACCAACACCGCTCAGACCATCTCTTGAATTCTTCTGATCTATTATCATGGAAACTGTGAATCTATATGTTCTCTAAAACAGTGTTGTTATAAGAATAGCAAACATTGATTGTTGGAATGTACATATATTCGGTTAAAATCAATATAATCTTTTATTTATCGCTGTTGACGGCGACGAACAATCAATTGAAATTGGTTCATATCTGTGGCCACAGTGAGCTAATGATATTGTCACTGACTATGATATTCTGTTATATCGGCACATTTACGACCTTACACTCTATTAAACATAGATCACTCAAAGTTCTCTGCCATTACAGTGCTAAACAGTCATTGAATTAAAATTATTTGATCTGCATTTGCACTTTTATTTGGGGTTCACTACTTTATTATAAACATGGTTGAACATATTTCACGGTTTCTTACTTGAACTTCATGGAGTGTGTCTGGATGTTATTTATCAAATAGTGAATAGCTGTCATTGACATACTACTGACACAAGCTTGCGGAAATTGTTAAGTTTTATGGTTTACATCATGGATAGCCTTATATAAATAATTACTGAACGTTAGAAACTACTAAGCAGCTGCTATGTCTTTATGTATAGCTCCTTACGAGCACGCATTCATAACCTGACTGCAACAGAACCATGGACATTCGGACCTCGTGTTGAGCACTAAAATCGTAGGCCACTAACCCGGGTTCCACTGGTTTACTTGTTTGGCTTCATGCTAAGACGAATTAACTGTCCAGTGCTTCTTGGTTTTCAAACGCCTCTTAAATATGTTCAGTTCGTGACGTAAACTATTTTATTATTTAATAGGTAATATGTATAGATCTGTTCAGTTTAAACAAGATTTTCAACAAAAAGTGGTATCGGTAAGCAGAGACAGATAGTGGCTAGCAGTGGAACCCAGGACGCGCGTTTCGTCCTATTTGGGACTCGTCAACTGGATGTACCTGCATCTTGGAGTTCATGTTCACTCTGGGACTCGAACCCAGTACCCTCGCTTCCAACGCCATCGCGTCATCCACTCGGCCACTGAGTCCTGGTAGCCACTTGCTTGTGCGATGGGGTGAAGTTTAAATTCATTTAGTATTGTTTGTTTGAATCTTCCTATCGACGTGTTAGGACTGCAACTGGTCAGTCTCTGATTGGCATATGTACATACTGTGTGTATTGCCTCGATATAGCCTTAATTCACAATCATGGTGAGCAGAGATGGATAGTGGCTAGCAGTGGAATCCAGGACGCGCGTTTCGTCCTATTTGGTATTGGTTGAAAAGCTAAATAACATTCGAAAGCTATTTTATTTATAATTTTGGACACCTCAGTAATATATACTAACTACCACGAACATAATAGAATCCAAGATATTTTGTCTGTTGGATGGGAAGTCATAAATGTTAACTGTCAAACTAAATTACTGAAAACTGTGACGTTTTAGACTACGGCATCACAATTTTACAATTCGTTTTAAGTATATGCCAATCCAACGTGCTGTTATTTACCTATCAAAGCCATTTCTTTTGTCAACTAGAGATACTATCACTTGACTTTTGTGGATTCTGAAAATTATTTAATTTTAGTAAAAGTATATCTTTCCAGTTCTTTTTCTGTTATTGGTGTGCTCTCACAATCCTATATCTAGTCTAACCAGAAACCTTTGAGTCACCAATGGAGCTCAAAATGGTTGACTAATTGTACTGGAATGCTGTTATCCACAAATTGACTGAATGTGAAAACATGAAATGGTGAATTTCGACTCAATGATCTAAATTTATCGTGCTAGTAGTGGGATTCGTAAGTTCTGACTCCTATCTCGGATGGGGTAGTGAGTGTTAATTACTGAAACAAGTTAGACTAAGACATTTGTCCACCGTCAATCGATATTCACCAGTCGTTTATCCGGCATTACTTCTTGGTAAAAATTGTGTTCAAAATATCGGAAAGTTTTCATAAAAATATAGAACTCAATCAATTGTTATTAAATACAACTATATCTTTTTTTCACAATATACTTAAAGATATAAGTACAACCCATCCAAAATTGATCATATTGTGTATGCAGATGACCTTTTGTCAATATTTGGTCTGAACTAAATTAACAATGGTAGCATTGGTTGTACCATAGTTAGTAGTACAAACTTTTTTTACCTAATCTAACCAGATCAGTTAGCTAAGTCTACTGGAATTTCACCGATAAATGTATAGTAGATGTAGGTCTACCTTATTATTGCTTTATACTTGTATTCATTTGGACTTTAAAATAAATCACGGAATAGAGACGTAGGGACTTACGACTTAAAGTGAGCGTTGTAATTGAAGTTGGACAAAACGTCCTACAGAATCTGAATTAGTCCAAGCTTCATCAAACTAAATAAATAACTTACTGTTAATATTCAAAATGTATTCATTGGAAATGAGATGTTCTAGGTTGCTTACATTAATTATTAGTAATTATTAAGATGATAAGCAATCATAAATAAACTTGGATTATTGTTAATTTGGTTATTTATTCTCTGAAGAAGTGGCTTACACTGAGTCACGAAATGTCAGAAAATCTAATTTTTCTACTCATTGGGATATTACAAATATATTAATTTATTTATAACAATCTACCCAATGCTCAATTTATTCAAAATTATCAAATGAAAACTTGGTAATGATACCTATGATAAGCAATCAGTTCTCGTCTATTGAGATCAAGATTATCACTGGTCAGTTTCATCTGAGATAGATGAATCGGTTAAAGAATCTTACCAGTATTTTTTTGCTTCAATATTTTTCATGTTCTGTATTTTCATCTCCAGATTTAAACTTGGATTTGTTTAAATCGATTCTTATTAATACGGTAAAATACGCTTTCTGTTGCCAGTTATTTCTAATCCTAATGACCGTCAATAGGATGTTGAGTGAATACATGTATGAGCTGTAAACAATGGTTAATATGGTATACTATAAGACGTTTTGACCGACTGTCTTTATTTCGCAGTTGGTTGACATAAATATTGTTGATAAAGAAATGCTATAAATTCGAGACCGGATCTGACATGATCAGATAGGTCGATGGCTAATGTACAACAACACTTCAGTGATGACGATTCTGTGTAGGTAAGAATGAAGACAAAGAGGCTCCACAAGAGAGATTTTGTGTCCCTAAAAAGGACTATATACACAGTTTTTATAAGGGAAATTACTTAGTAGAAGTATGTATCATGGTACCACGGTACGTACATAGATCACAGCAATATACAGACGAGAAAAGTTACAACTGTTGTTCTATGAGCCTCAAACCCTTCTCACTCTGTCTGTTCGACAAATCTGGGTCATTTATATCATATATAGGGTTATTCAATTTACAAGGTTTCATTTATAATCAAATGATTATATTGAATCATCAAAGGGATGTTGCATATGTATATACGTACATTCTTTTTATGTTTAAATTTTGAGTTTCAATGTCATTCCATGTGTTTCGCTTCTCGGTTTTATCCTTGCCTTTTGAATGGCATTTTTGACGTCTGGTTTCTCATTACCATTGATATTATTAATATCGTTATTCGGTTACTTTTGTTTTTCGTTTGATTAATTCCCTCTCATTGTATTAGTTTGAATTGTGACGAATAGAATCGATGCACATTAGTATGATGTCTTACCTAGTTTATGTCCGACTGAATAATCGGCTTATCGTTTAGCTATTTGAATAATTCAGCTGTAAACTCTCAGTAGAGTTTTGTAAAGTACGAGAAAAGACCATTATTATTGTCCGATTATAATCTAGCATTATGTGCTGATTAAAAAAATAAATAGGCTTTCACTTGGATTTGTTCGCTTTGTGTATAATAAGATAAAGATTATTCATTGATGTTGATCTTTTTGTAACCCTGTTAAAAGGTAACTAAAACCAAATAAACTTAAAGACTAGAATAAGTTAACGGAACTTCACCGATTACGAAAGACTAATTATTCGTTGAAACATATAAACAAAGTTAGGTTTTAGGTTAAATAATCAAGTTAGTTATTAGAAATCCATTTATTCAGTGTTTGTTTAATGTGATCCTGACAGGAGACCTAATTGCCATAGTTGGAATGGGCAACACTGGATATGAAGATATCATGGGACAACATGGACTGGCAGAAAGAAACGAAAACGGGGAGGGATTTGCAAAGTTATGTGCCTTCAACAAATTGGTAATAGGTGGCACAATATTCCCACACAAACACACACACAAAGCTATATGGGTTTCACCCGATCACACCGCGGAGAACGAGATCGATCATTTATGCTTCAATAAAAATTTCAGAAGAACAATGGAAGACGTGAGAACCAGGAGACAGAGGAAATGACATAGCTTCAAATCATCATCTGGTTGTGGCCAAGATGAAACTGAAGCTAAAGAAGCAATGGACAACTGGACAAACAGCAGGTTCAATACGGCCTTCCTTTGAAACACTAACAAACTCAACCAATTCAAGATAACTCAACAACAGGTTCCAAGCCTTACATGATCCACGTAAAGAAGGAGAAACTACTATGGATGACAACTGGAAAGGGATCAAAGGAGCACTAACTTCAGCGTGTCAGGAGGTTCTGGGACACAACAAGCATCATCAGAAGGAATGGATCTCTATGAAAACCTTAAACAAGATTCAGGGAAGCAATTAACAACAGCCGAACAAGAACAGGGAAAGTGAAGTCACAAACTGGATATACAGAAGCAAACATGTAGGTGAAGAAGAGCATTAGATCTGACAAGCAGAAATGCATAGAAGATCTAGCAACGACAGTGAACAAATCTGCGAGAGAATGAAATATAAAACAACTATATGACACGACGAAGAAACTGGCAGGGAAATATAGTAAACCAGAGAGACTGGTCGAGGACAATGAAGGAAAGAGAACCACTAATATTCAACAACAAAAGAACAGATGGGTAGAACACTTAGGGGAACTCTTGGATAGAACAGCTCTACTGAATTCACCGGATATCGAAGTAGCACATACAAACCTTCTCATAGATGTCACTTCACCAACGACGGAAGACTTCAGGATGGTCATCAGGCCAATCAAAAGTGGGGAAGCAGCAAAACCTGACAATATACCAGCTAAAGCTCTGAAGTCAGATGAAGAAACGACTGAAAACATGTTCCACGCTATATTCAAGAAGATTTGTCAGGAAGGACAAGTACCGATGGACTGGAAAGAAGGAAACCTCATCAAGAAACCAAAGGAAGGAGATCTGAGCAAATATGAGAACTACATAGGCATCACACTACTATCAATACCAGCAAAAGTTTTCATCAGAGTAGTGCTGAATCGTATGAAAGACTCGGAAGACAATCAACTTCGAGATCAACAGACCAGATTCCGTAAGGATCGGTCGTGCATAGAGCAAATTGGACATTACGGATCATTGTTGGGCAATCGATTGAATGGAACTCGTTACTGTACATCAACTTCTTTGACTATGAGAAGGCGTTTGACAATGTGGGTAGGAGAATATTATGGAAACTTCTTCGACACTATGGAGTTCCTGAGAGGATTGTCAACATTATCCGGGACTCATACAATGGACTACAGTGCATGGTTGTGCATGGAGGACAACTGACAGATGCATTTCCGGTAAGGAACGGAGCCAGACAACGCTGTCTACTCTCCCCCTTCCTCTTTCTTCTGGTAGTCGACTGGATTATAAAGACCTCGACATCTGACGGGAAGCACGGAATACAATGGACAACTTGGAAGCAACTAGACAATTTTGACTTCGTAAATGACCTAGCCCTTCTATCCCATACACATCAACAAATACAGGTCAAAACAAACAGTTTAGCAGTAGCCTCTACACCAGTAAGCCTCGAGATGCATAAGGAAAAGTGCAAGATTCTTAAATACGAAATGGAGAACACCAAACCAATCACACTTGATAGAGAAGCTCAGGAGGAGGTTAAAACTTTCATGTATCTGGGTATCATCAGTGATAAACAAGGAGGATCTACTGAACACATGAAATCAAGGAATTGGCAAATCACAGACAACATTCCTACAGTTGAAGAATATATGGAACTCAAAACAACTGTCTGTCAGCCAACATCAAAGTGAGAATCTTCAATCCGGACATCAAAACAGCTCTATTGTATGGAGCTGAAACTTGGAGAACTACCGCAACCATTAAAATGCCAGGGGTGTTTGTAAACAATTTTGTACACAAGATGTTCCGTTGGCCGGAAACCATCAACAGCAGCCTTCTTTGGAATAGGAAAAGCCAGCTTCCGGCTGAAGAGGAAATTAGGAAAAGACATTGGAACTGGATTGGACATTCATTTAGGAAATCATCAAACTGCATCACGAGGCAAGCCCCAACTTGGAATCCTGAAAGGAAGCGAAAAAGAGGAATTACAAATAACACATTACACCGGGAAATAGAAGCAGATATGAAAAGGATGGATAGCAACCGGAAAGAACTGGAATGGATTGCCCAGGACAGGGTTGAATGGAGAATGCTGGTGGGCGGCCTATGCTTCTCCATCACGTGGGGGTGACAGGAGTAAGTAAGTAATGCATTAAATACAGTATTTACACATTTTCTTTCAGTTGCCCTTTGCATACTTTATGATTCTTTCAATTCTGTTGTTATAACAATTACTCTGTTTCCCTTCCTGTTGTCTTCAATACGATTTTCTCAATCTTCTGCTACCAGGTATTTCACTTCTGATTGATGTTACATGCTACTTATATCTGTCAATATAGGTAGAACATGCCACTATATTATTTCAATATTTATGCAAATTTTCTATCATCTAGCTATACTCGATATCCAAATCGAAAGCTTACTCCAGCTGCTACTTCAATTCGACTTCGTCGTAATGAAAACAATTGTTATGCATCATCTGATCATCAGAGATCACCAAGTGCACCAAATCTAAGATGTGATATGCCAGTGAATTGTCAATATGATAGGCAAGAGGATAATTTGTTCAAGTATCGTAGACCACGTCAATTGTTACGTCGAAAAGATTCTATTCAAGCTGCACCACCAAATGTTTTATCCGAAGATAGATCATTGTATAAATCTACGTTTACCGGACAGATGGGTCGTAAGTTATCATCTACTGTGTGTAGAATGCTATATGGTTTATAAGAAATCGCTTACTAGTTAAGTCATTTTATATAGTTGAGATCATGAGTCAATTGAAGCTAGACCACCACTGAAAACTTGGAAGCACTGAACGGCCGTTTCGTCCTATTGTGGGACTCCTCAGTAGTGCACATTCACGATCCCGCCTCGAGAGATTCCAACTCAGGACCTATCAGTCTAGCGCGCTAGCGCTTAACCTCTAGACTACTGACCCAGCACCCATCGGTGTTAATGTCTAACTCCAACCAATCCACCAAATTGAGCAACCGTCCCCCATTATCTTCAGTGAGTTACTATATCACAACAGACCCGGTTAAACTCCACTGGTCACTGCTTCTCGCGAGACGGAGTCGTGGATGCGCACTACTAAGGAGTCCCATAATAGGACGAAACAGCTGCCCAGTGCTTCCAGGTTTTCCATGGTGGTCTAGCTTCAATTGACTTATGATTCCAACCATAAAATTACTAAACTCTCCATAAAACCTCCTTCTGATACTAGTTAAGTATTATGTTGTTTTGACCAAAACGTCCTCTTAGTCAGGGCTGAATGGTTGAATATTCTAATAAACGTCAACTCAAAGTCTTATTAAAACATTCTTAATTATGTAAGAAAACAGTGTCTTCGTTCAATTCAAAGAACACCTTTATAATGAGAATTTTGCAGTTCTGAAATAAACAAGCTCAGACACTTTAAAATACTGTATGAGGTAGGTTCGTATAGTTTTAATCTTAAAAAGGAAGACTGACTATTCGGTCAATGAAGCTTAGTTGGATACTACTTAATAATTCTTGATAGTGATGTATCCGGTTATGGATAATATCATTCAGACGATTATTATAACTAGCTCAGAATTGGAAATAAACATAACCATTATAAAATTGATACTGGTAAAATGAATATAATAGTAAACTTTGCAAATAAAATGCAAAGCAGAAGACTGTAATGATTTTAATCAAAAATATGTTATTTATATTTGCAACTGATATGTCAACCACTCTGATGTTAGACCATAATGTTCTATAATGCCCTTTTTCAATAAGGCAGGCCCCTGTGACTAAGTTCGCTTTATCACTGTTGCATGTATATATATCCTCATGTTGTATCATTATTTATGTAAATTAATTAATGTTAGTTTTAATGTTCACTTATTTATTCAAATAGCCCGTCCATCTAGAATTCAACCACGTGAACAAGGTATAAATGGTCTGGAGACAGCTCAACAAAAAGTCAAAAGCCTTCTCGAATCGAAGGATTTAACTCACATAAATGAAGATGTATACAAACAAATTTATCCTTTACCAAATGATTCAACTTATAATACTGACTTCAATGAACACATTTTCCAAGATGTTTACTCAGAAAATACACTTCCGAATATTAATTCTAAGATGCAAGATAATTCAACTGATTATCGAGAAAATTATCATTCATGGATTAAACCACCAAGAAATGATGTGATTATGCAACGAATTGGTTACAACTGGAAACCTACACCTGCTGTTTATCTTCCAGAAGATCCTAGTAAACATGAACCAATAGAATCTTGTACGGTGTATAGATCGAATTTTACTGATTTTTCTAAAGAAAGAATAAAAGCTCGTATGAAACCTAGTCAAAAAGCATGTTATTCGGCTATTAAAGCCGATAAATTATTGAATAGTTTTGATGGTCGGCAAGAAAGAATTCCAACAACATTATATCGTGATTCATTTATTGGTTTACATAATGTAGATAATTGGAGTGATAGACATATATTACAAAATTCATCATCGGTTACATCACGAACTGGTAGATATCAACAAAATGATGATATGTATTGGTTTGGTGTAGATGTAACACCATATAGAGATACAAAAGAATCAGTATTTACAGAATCATGTTATTTAGAGAATCCTTATGAAAAATCACAAGCGTAAAAATAGCAATTCAACATTTGTAGTACCATTCTATCAAAACTAAATGAATTAGCCTTAAGTTTATGAATTTAGTTTCTAATTAGTAAACTTCTCAAATCACATTTTATTTTGTTTAATTATTTTTTATTTATAATAATAACCTGGAACAGGAAATTTTAGTAATACATTCATTACTTATATACTCTTCGTCTATGCAATGATATATTGATAACGGCGCCAAAATGCTTTCCAATTTATTTTTTGTTGTTCATTTAATCTAATTAAAATTAATTTATTCATATGATTGATCTTTTCATCTTGTGGTATTAGTCAGTTAATTTGATATTCAAATAGCCTGTTCACTATGGAGTCCAACAATGAAGAAATAGGTCTCGAAAGTAATTTATGAACACTTAATTAGTATTTGTATGCTATAGCACCATTTTCTAAATTAAATATATTTATTTTGGGGAATTTGAAAAAAATGAGCTTAGACCTTTGACATGTCTTGTAGGTTGAATGCTTTATTCAGATCCTAAGCTATTCCGATAACCTCAGGACTAGTACTACTCAGAAACTTGAAGACCAGAGAGAAGACACGGGTATCAGAGAAAACCTTTACTGCAAGGATCATCTTTGTACAGAAAATCGTAGGTATTTATAGATGTTTGCTTAAGTTAAATCAACATCCTAATTCAGCCAAAACTCCGCCTGTAGCTCCTCCAGGGGCTACTGCCGGTCCCAAGCCCGGGTAAAGGAGGAGGGTTGGGCATGGGGTTAGCGACCCCATCCCGTAGAAAATCAACTCGCTAAAAAAACGCTAACCAGAAATCTCTCTCTCTAATTCAGCCAATCCAATTAACGACATAAATTGCTACTGACCAATGGTAGCATGCCACGTTGGAACTCCAGAATGTTCCGTCGTACTCTGATTAGTTGGGGCTCTTTTTGAGACTCTGGAAGCTCTGTTGGAGTTCGCTGGAAGCCGACTTAACACCTCCCTCGAATAAGATTTCTTTCTAGGATCAACTTGTAGTTTGACAACTGGGTTGCGATGTCGTCCCATTATTCTCGTCGCCTTCCCTGTCCATGGCTTCCTTCCAGTGTTCTTTGGCGTTTGTGGCATTGGTGCGTCTAAGATTAAATCTAACGGAAAATTCGGCGGGTTACTTCGATTCTGCATCATTCTTTTGTCTTAAAGGATTTGATTTGTGTGTCGTATACACATCCCAAAAATTCCTCGAACCCTGTACAGAACTCTTCCCAATTTTTGTACGACTTCTCCCGGCTACCATCGGTTCTTCCCGATGTAGGATTTAATGTAAACTTTGTCGCCGACATTGAAGTTCCGAATACTTGGATTGTGACTGCGCTCATCAACTAATTTGGATGGCAACATGGCATTGAAGACGGTTCGAACACGTCTTCCGAACATGACTTCCGCTGGAGACTTGCCGTCCGGAACATTCGGATTCGAAGTGGATCTGTAGGATGTTAAAAATTTCGTGATCACCTGCCCAGTCGGCCCTTCTCCTCCCCCCTTCAGCAATGCTCGTTTAAAGGTGTTCACGAAGCGTTCTGCTTGTCCGTTAGGTTGTGGATGATAGGGTGGAGAACGAAGATGAGTTATTCCGTTTGCTTTACAGAAATACTTAAACGATTCTGCGGCGAATTGCGAGCCGTTGTCTGTTACTAAGGTCTCTGGTACTCCAAAACAGCTAAACAGGGTAGACAGCTTGTAGATTGTTTCTGAGGTTGTACAATTTGGCATGGTATATACTTCTGGTCATTTAGTAAATGCATCTACGATAATTAGAAACATTTTTCCTTGGATTGGACCAGCAAAATCTGCATGAATTCTTTCCCAGGGTCCTGCAGGCGTAGGCTAATACTGAGGTTCGCATTTCACAGGATTTTTAGCGGCTTGAATGCATGATGGACAGTTACGGCATTTATTCTCGATATCTTTGTCCATTGACGGCCAATAAGCATAACTACGAGCCAACGATTTCATTTTATTTACTCCAGGATGGCCTCTGTGAAACTGCTTGAGAACCTTGTAACGTAATAACTTCGGAATAACAATTCGATCACCGAACATAATACACGAGTCAACAACCATTAGTGAGTCCCATCGACGAAAATATTGCAAGAGTTCTCCGTCAAGGCGATTGTTTGGCCATTTGGTCGAGAGATAGCATTTGACTGTGCTCAGTATCTTATCACTTTCAGTGATCTTCTTGATAGTTTCAAAGGTTACTGGGAGTCCATTGATTGCGTCATCCAATACACGATGAACTTCTTCCTCGGCTTTTATATTTGCTACAAGAGTCTCCTCTGAGGTTTTTGATTGGGAGCCTATTAATCTTGACAATGAGTCAGCTTGTCCGAAGGCGGTAGTAGACTGATATTTTATCTTGAAGTCGTAACCAAGAAGTGTGGTTGCCCATCTTTGGAGTCGGTTAGCTGTATGAACTGGAATACCTTTCTTTGACCCAAAAACTGTAAGTAGTGGTTTATGGTCTGTTATTAGAGTAAAATGTCGGCCATATATCATCTTATGGAACTTCTTCACTGCAAAGATAATTGATAGGGCCTCTTTTTCAATCTGACTATAGTTCCTTTCGGTCGTTGTCAACGATCTGGCAGCGTGTGAGATACCTTTTTCAGACCCATCAGGAAAAATGTGAGAGATAACTGCACCCACACCATAGTTAGAAGCATCTGAAGCGACGACTATCGGTAGAGAAGGGTCATAGTGTATCAATAAGAGATTGGAAGTCAGAAGTTGCTTGATTTTCTCGAAAGACGCTTGGCAGTCTGCAGACCAATTCTATCTCGTATTCTTTTGTAACAGGTTGTTTAGTGGAGAACGTAGACGATGGAGATCAGGGAGGAAGGTACCATAATGGCTGACCAACCCCAAGAATGATCGTAGGGTAGTAATGTCCCTGGGTCTAGGCATTGTTTTCACTGCTTCAATGTTCTCTGGATCTGGTCGTCTTCCGTCTTTATCTATTATGAACCCAAGGTACCGTACTTGCTGCATATAGAAGTCACATTTTTCGGCTCGGAGTCGAAAACCATAATCGGCTATGCGTTCTAGTACCTGGTCTAGTTTCTTCTGCAGGTCCATTTTATCTACTGCCATAATTATGATGTCGTCTAAGTAAGCTGCTGCCCTTGGAATACCTTGTAACATGGTATCCATAACTTGCTGAAAAATATAAGGCCCTGTCTTCACCCCAGAAGGTAGTCGGTTATACCGGAACAGACCTTTGTGTGTGTTGATCGTTAAAAGATCTTTGCCTTCATCAGATACCGGGATTTGTAGATATGCGTCTGATAAGTCCAATTTCGCAAAATATCTGCGACCGTTCAGCTTAGCGAAAAGATCTTCTGGTAAGGGCAACGGATACTGATGGGACTCTAGAGCTTCATTTAATCCTGTGGAGTAGTCTGCACATAGATGGACACTTCCATTCGACTTCATGACCACCATTATCGGTGCAGCCCAGTTCGAGAAGTTCACGGGCTCGATAACACTCATTTGCTGAAGTCGTTGTGACTCCTGTTCAACTATTGGAAGAGCAGCATAGGGCATAGGTCTTTTAGGTCGAAAAATGGGAGTAGCTGCAGGCTTTAGAGTTAGCACTGCTTTAGCCTTCGTGCATTCGCCTAATCCTTCTTTAAACACGTCTTGGTGTTTTTGTAGCATGGCATTTTTCTGACTCCACTCTGAGGTGTTGTAAGTTGTGATTCGTTTGCAGATACTGTTAATAGAGTGGTCTGCTAGGTCAAGTGTTTCTATAAGATCCAACCCCATTAAGTCGAGTGCTGGCTTCTTTGTAAGATACACTGTTGCATTTGTTGTTACCGCATCTTTAGACACAATACAAGGTATTTCCCCAACAATGTTTAACTTTCCACCTGATGCACTGTGTGCTATTTGTGTTGTTCGATGCACCGAGGGTCGCCCAATCTTCTTCCAAGTTTCTGAACTTATTAAAGTAATATCAGAAGCAGTATCAAGCTGAAGTCGAATGCGGTGTTTATTAATATTCAAGGTTACGTACTTTCTCTGACGGCACCTTCTAGCTTTGTTATGCGATACCAATATTCTTTTCGTTAATGCCCCAGACCTGTATTTCTTGAGGTAAGTTTTTACAAAATGTAGTCTTTAGTTTCTTTTTCTGCATCTCGTTTCTATATGGTCCTTTCGATGACACTTACTGCAACAATGTTCTTTATACGGGCAAAACCTCTTATAGTGCCAGCCTCCACATGCCCAGCATGGAGATGATGGTTTGTCGCCGTTATTACGATAATTAGGTGTGCTGGAACCCTGCAAGGATTTTCTCTTGACTGCATTGACATTATGGAAACAGTTACCGTTTTCTACCATTGAGGTATCATGCTTATTACCTGTATCATAATCATAATTGTGGATTTATTAGATCCTAACTCACAAACATTGAACTTAACGATTATATTCATACTAAATAACGATCATTCACAAACAATTGATATATTGGTGCAATTTAGTAAGTCTGTTCCATTTTATAAATTGTGCCATTTATTATTATCATTGTTTTTGTTCGTCCTTTTTGCTTAGTGAGATTTACATCATATTTGTGTACTACTCAAAATTTTTTTTGTAAGCATGTCTTCCGAAAACACTATGTCAAGTGTACAGCAGACTTCATCCGTGAGAACTCTTAACCTTCCAGTCCCCTCTTTTAAGGTCACCGACCCTCAGCTGTGGTTCATTAGACTCGAAAACTATTTTCTGCCTAGTCGTATTAACTTACAAAGAGATAAATTCGGCCTCACAAGCACTCTCCTCCCAGACGAAGTAGCAGAAAGCGTACGAGAGGCGTTATCTAAACCGGATACTGAAAGGCCATACGATGTACTTATAGCAACCATCCTACAATCAATTTCGATTATAGCCAATTTTGGTTAAGCCCTTTTTTATAACTTACCTAACAGACATCATCATTTGGATAGTAACAATTTGCATATTCTTTGCACTGCTATACCACTAGAGCACATGACACTCTATCCGAAATGTTGACTGCTTAAATATCATTCGATGACTCATACTCCCCCCCATATATGTACGCACACAAATATTATTATCAGCCTTTGTTTTGCTTTGCTGTGCCCTTATCAAATCTGACTATAAATTGCCTATGTAGTTGCTTGCTATTTGCTCGCTTGCTCCTCGTTCGTTTCCTTCGCTTATTCGCCTGTTCACTCGCTCTCTCGCTTGCCGCTCACTCGCTCGTTGATATTCGT